CAAATGGCTGCAATATAACAAAGAGTGAAAAATTGAAGGGGGTCTGAATACTTTCCGTACCCACTGTATATATATAGATATATATATATATATTTATTTATTTAGTCATTTACTAGACGCTTTTATCCAAAGCGACTTACAAATGAGGACAACAGAAGCAACCAATTGTATTAAAACAACTAAAAACAGATCCAAAACTAAAAGCTAAACCTTTATAAATACTACTTTTAAAATAAAAAAAATATATAAAGTAATTAAATAAAAATGGCAAATGCATACAACAAAATTCCAAAACTTAACATTTAGATATGGAAACACATAGTAAGAGTTGGTCATAAAAACTTAAACAGAACTGAAGCAAGGTGAAGAAAAGAGGACGAATCAAAAGCGATACTTATGTCCCTTGCTGGTGTCCCTGCCCGGTGGAGTCGCACGGTAGAGTCGATGGCATAGTTGCCAAGTCCGCGTATTATACGCGACTCTGGGCTTCTTTTTTTTTGTAAAGTTGTGTGAAAAAATCCCAGGTCGCGGGTTGCGGTTTTTTTGGGCTTATTTAAAAAAATATGGTTCCTTGTTAGGGAAATCTGACAAGCAACTTTGTTTCGTTATTTATGTTCGCCGTATTCTCCAACGCATTGAATGACACTCTGTGTGCTCGCAGTTAACTATGGAAGCATATAGGTAGCGAAATTCAAATTAAAATGCAATATGCAAAATGGCAATGCAATATTCAAAATGGCTTGATATGTGTAACATGTTCAAGCAGAAATGGTAGCATAATGATCATTTAAATGCTATTTGTCCTAAATGCATTTAGACTAACAGTTAGAACACTTAGGATTGCATTTTCATCATGATGCCGTGGGATATTTGTAGCAAAATTCAATTTGAAAATGCATTCCGAGCTGACCACGCCCACCCTCCGTCAATCATTGCATAATTTAATCAAAACATAATTTATTTACTTTTCCAACAAAGGCAGGGTTTCTGCGGGGCATTGAAAATCATTAAAATTCATTAAATGACCTTTAATAACAGCCATTCAGGACTTCCGTTCAAAAACTCGGGAAGTCTTAATTAATTTCAATCAATTTTTATACGCGATACAGAACGAGACCAAACGCGATATCAGCACGTCTCCACACAGTTAACAAAACAAGCGTTTCCTAGCGAGGACAACTGCACTACACACTAATGAGACAAGTAAATACACTTACGAGCTGCTTTTAACTTCCGCTGATAAAGACTGCTTCTCTCAAAGATTATTTATTTACACTGTTTTCTGCTGGCGCTTGAACACACTTTCCTTATTTTTTCCTCAACAAATGGCCAAGCAAGCGCAGACACTGACAAGATACGCGATACAGAACGAGACCAAACGTGATTTCGTTGTTTAGTTTTCGCAAACATTTCGTTGCAATATTTAGGTATCGATGCTATTAAAAACAATTTACATTTACAAAGTATGTATGAGCACAAGTATGTATAGCGATATATATAACAGATATGTAGCAAAGTGAAAATAATCCTCTGTGAAACTCACTTTAATCATGGGGGATTAGCTATTTGAAAAATACTACATTTGGGAGTGAAAATACTTCCCCCTCAGATTCCCCAAGATTATTATTTTGTGTTAGGTAGTTATACAGCTTGCCCTGCCCAAAATGTATTTTATGCTCTCATTCACAGCACTACATAACTACTCCAAAAAGATGTTCACCAGTATCAGAAGGCTTAGAATTGTGATTGCACTGATGTGCTGTGATTTTGCATGTTTTATTTATAACCTGATGTGAACAAAATATCTTGTTTTAATTTGAGTAGAAAGAGATTCAATTATTCTTCAGACAGCCTGGGTGTCTGACAGGGAAACCATGACACTGGAAGCTATGAAAAAGCAAAATACAAGGTAGCTGCATGCAAAAGACTTCACATTTATATAGAATTCCTATAAACAAAATATTTTTTTGCTTGCTTTTTTGCCTTTTTTTAAAAGGCAAAAAATGGTGTGCTGCACTTGTAGTCAAGTTTTACAGCAGGCTTATATTTACAGAAGCTATCCCAAGCATAGTCAGCCCAATCACATCTCACTTTCCTTTCTTTCAGGTCAATGTACAGCTCAGTATTAAATATTATATTGGTTTGAAATGATCACTGGGCAAAACCAGGTTAAACTAGACTTTAATAGATGGCACCTTGTCTCCATGTCAATCAAAGTCCAATCACCACATGGTCCTGATTAACAGAAATGTGTTTTTATTTAAAAATTAAAGCTTATACCAATAATACAAGCCATGATATTGTAAACTTAGTCATGTTACATTCTATTTGGATTCAACAGCAGAGGAACAATATGAAAGCAATGAGGCAAACTGAATTTGAAAACAAAACATTTCCTCTTTTTTGAGATTGAGGGCCGGTGCCAAACATTTCAACCAAAATCACAGTATAATAAATAAGCATAAAATATTAAAACACAGATCAACGCATGGTTTCTTGAAAATAAAGTCTAGAAAATATTTTGAGTGAAATGAAGAAGCAAAAGGTCAAATACTCAGGTGGCACTGAAATATATGAGCAATTAAGACAGCCAAGGTACAAGCCTCTGCATTCACATTCATAAAATAAGTATTTCATCTTTGTGCTTGTTTTAGCTTTGTACAGTAGTGCATAAAGACATAGCTACTATGCTGGTAGTGAGTCGTTCATGATGATTAAATTAGTATCCATTTAAACATAAAACAGCACACTCTCTTTTAAATATATTAAAATCACTGATACGTGAATATAATCCAAGCTAGTTTGGCTCAGGATCTAATTTGTGTGTATAATATAATGATATACTTTGCTGGTGCCTGTGTGTCTGTTACTCTTCTCTGGCAACACAGAGGGGCCCGCCAGATGGAGTGTTCTGTAGGAAGTGGGGTCCGACTGAGAGTGAGTGGGCAGTGAGCTGGGGGAGGGGTATGACTTCTCTAAACTGCTATATTGGCTTGAACTATAACATTAAATCAAATGATTCTAACATGAAGTCGTTTGGTGCATGCATCAAAATATTAAATTGGTACACCCAATGAAAACAGGATTTATTTGTATGATCACTGGTGATTAAGGCTACAAACAGCCTGCTTTACTCTCAGTCTTTTTAGAATAGAATTTCCTCACGGTGGTTAAACTCCCTGACCTAAAACAGTATAGTTCTGAAAATGACAAGTTTGATGACTTTGGAAATGTTCAGCAAAGTTGTCCTGGCAGAAAACGTATAAAACCAGTCAACGGCCATCAGGGTGACAAACAGCATGTAACAGACACACAGAGATTCTAGTTTTGCATACATTTAGGCGCTGTCCACAGCATTTGTGCCATTATAGTGATTACCTCAGAAAATACTTTTCTAGGTAGAAAAACTTCTGGTTATTAATTGCTGATGAGAGTGGAGTTGCTCCACGCTTACACGTAACGTGTGAAAGTGAATGCTTTTACAGGCTGCACCAATCACTGAAAGATTGTCAGTAAGCGATTCTCTCAAAACTATGATTTTTGTGTTTTTTAAAAGAAAAACACAGTGATAAGTCTAAAATATTTTCTGTGATAATTGACATAAATGCTGTAAATAGAGCTTGTATTTACATTCCTCTAAAAGAGTAAATTGATCACTGTAGATAAAAACCTGTTTTCTCACTCACTTGTACCTCACAAGATCAGTTTACATCAGTTTCCTAGTTTTAAGGGACAAGAACTGTGCCCACATATGATGCCTAAAACTGTTAGAATAAATCCAAGATTTCAGGTGGGAAAAAAGTTTAGCTGTTTGGCTGGAAGCAAGGCACAGATGTTCAACAGAGAAACTAGTTCCACAAAATGATAGAGATGGATAATAATTTACTGTACCATTTAAAAGTTTGGGGTTTGTAAGAGTTGTTTAAAGAAATTAATACTTTTATTCAGCAAGGATGCATTAAATAAATCAAAAGTGACAGTACAGACTTTCACAGTGTTACAAAAGATTTCTATTTTAAATAAATGATGTTCTTTTGAACTGTCTATTCATCAAAGAATCCTGAAAAAATGTATCACGATTTCCACATAAATATCAAGCAATGCAACGTATTTCAACATTGCTAATAATAATAAATGTTACTTTAGCACCAAATCAGCATATTAGAGTGATTTCTGAAGGATTGTGTGACACTGAAGACTGCAGTAATGGCTTCTGAATATTCAGCTTTGTCATCAAAGGAATAAATTACATTTTCCTTTTTACTGTATTTTTGATCAAATAAATGCAGCCTTGTTGAACATAAGAGACTTCTTTCAAAAACAAAAAAAATCTTACCAACCCCAAACTTTTGATCGTTAGTGTGTATACTGTATAATAATAATAATAAACTATAAAACTTAATTTAAATCTAGATTTTGATTTTAAATCTACACAAATTTTTTTTCTTTTGCAAATCATAAAGTACTTGCAATTTACTGTAATGAATTATTCTGCAATTATGTAATGAAGATTCAGTGTTGATTCAGTGTCAGCAAACAATGGCACAAAACACTAGACTAACATGCAATGTAAGAAAAGATAAACTGTTCAAAGAAAGGCTGGGTAAGCGAGAGAACAGGTTTTACCGTGGGAATTCAGATTTTTCACTTTAAAAATATATAAATGCTGGTTTCTTACATGAACACAATTCCACATGTTGGTGTTAAAACTTCAGTTTTCAAAGTGTGTAAATATAGAATTAGGATTGTTCAGGTTTTGTGGTATGGACCAATCACTACAGTCTTTGGCAGTGTAATAACAGCACAAAAACAGACAAAACTCTTTCAATAAATAGGACTAATATGTCAGTTCATTAAAACAAATAAAATTCACTTAGTACCAACTAAAACACGAAAGCAGTTCTGCATTAATAAAAAGACTATAACAGCAGCGATTAAAGCATGTGAATGAAAGTCATTCTCATTTCTGGCAAACTATCATGAGGCCTTGAACTAACAACACTTACAAAAAAAAAGTACAATCTCTTGTGCAACAAGGAGGTGTTTTCAAGCTTCTGTAAACTTCCTAATTTCAGCTCAGAGATGCCTGGAAGGAAACATCAATTTGAAGACATATGACTAGCTCGAGAACAACTGGAGCCAATTAGGGTGGTAGCAGTACTGTCTAAAGAAATTCAAAGAAGAATTTGCATTGGTACTTCCAGCTGGATCACATGGGACCGTCGATTGAAGATGCTTATTCCAACAGCAGACACTCTGCTGTATCAGAAGCTTTTGCACATAATCACACACAGATGTCAAACATTTCCTTGCTCATAATTAAAAAGAAGTTCAAAAAGTACTTGCTCATGCAAACTGCAAGTCTCAGCAAAGCTGTACGAGCTGCCGACTCGGGCAAATACTGATTATACATCTTAACTAATCAGATACGCAGACCCACATATAAACAATGCTAAATGTAACCAGAGTAAAACAAGCTCATAAAATAAGTAGAAATGAGCAAAAAAACTTCACAACTACATATGTCCCATTGTCATTATATCAACTATTGATACAAGCTGTGATTTACAAATTTAACATTAGTTGGATACAGTGTTTCGGCATTTTGATACATAAAACCTTGAGGTGCAGCATCAATGCTTTTTAGAGTCCAACTAAAATGTTTCACACGATATAGCGTCCGACAACACACAAACCGAGAAGGCAAAGGTATGCTGTACGGAGATCAGTCTTACCAAACGAGACAATGACAGGCTGTAACACCACACTGCCTTTAGCTCTGCCCAACAACATTTACACACAACCAGACCCCAGTACGAACAGAAAGACACATATTAAGGCCATTTTGTATTAAATGTGGTAGGCTAACCTCTTCTAGAGACCGACCACACATCCGGAGTTAAAGTCTGATAATCATCGAACACATAGTAAACATTATCTCTCTCTCTCCTGTTTCTGCGACACTATCTCTCTCACACACACACACACAACACACACACACACACACACTTTGCAACAAATCTCATCTTAACACTGAGTTATAAATCCTGTAAAAATGTCTTAGCAGTAAAAGGAAAATTGCTGTATTTGTAGGCTCAGAAATTGAAGAGGTCCCTAAACCTAATGGTAAATTTACATCATAAATGGAGGCCTTGGTGTCTGCTTGTTATTGTGTTCATACCACTGCATATGAAGTATGCACGCATTCAAACATTGTCATGTTTGAGCACTGATGGTCTGCTGATCGTTATTATGTGGGCAGTACTTGTGTATGATAGAACTTACCGCTTTATGTCTGTTGTGTTACTGTTATGGTAAAGAATAAAGAAAAAGTATATTTAATAACTGACTGGTGTATCGATGTGGGATTTAGGTATTGGAGATTTGACTCAGCTAAAACCTAATATTGGGTCTGCTCCTAAAACGACATTCAACCTAAACTTCTGTTGTGTTTGAAGACATGAGACTTTAGGTACTGAGGGTCAGTCCCAGCCCCATGTGTTGGGATGAAGGTCAACTGCTCTGTGAGGAGTGATGGGAAGGTTGTGCGCTCATGGAGGCTTTACTCTTCTGAGGTCTTCCGAAGCAGTCTTTCATATAGGCTGAGTACATGATGAACAAACTGATACTGCTCCGCTGTCTGGATCATGCCGCCTCTAAAAGCACAACAACATGAGGCCAACTGTTATTGTGCTTAATAGCATCTAGCAGTCCAACTTCGCACTTAACAATAGCATAATGGTCTTGCAAGGATTTTTCTCCATGACTTCAGTTTGGCCCGGATCCCACTGAGGCCAAACAGCTAACATTTAGTCTGCTGCTGTCTCAGTACTCAAACTGACTCTTGTGTTTAAAAGAATGTACAGTATATATATTTTACCTGTCCAAGCGTAGCTGGCTAGTGGTCTTCAGGATGTCAACCACCCCTTCATTACTTAGCTGCTGGCACAAGATGGAGGTAGCAATGAAACAGCCAGTGCGTCCAATCCCTGCACTAAGAGTAGAGAAATCGCTGTTTAAATATATTAGCTTTATCTTTTTACTATGTCACTTTAACAGCTTTTTGTGAAAAGTGTGTTACCTGCAGTGGACAATGACAGGTCCACTGTTGGGCGGAGCCTGTTTCCTCACTTCTTCCACTTCCTTAACCAACTCCAAAAGAGGCGGGGCCTTGTCTGGAGTTTTCTGATCTGGCCAGGATGTGTACCAGTACTGTTTGAGAGTGCGCTCCTCACCCTCACTCTACACACACAAACATTCACCAACATGTAAATGCACGTTTGCAGTTAATCAAAGCTGTGTTCACACTCCATAAATTTGACCACAATTTGGCCATATGAGACAAATTTTGCAAAGCCCACAAGATTCCTCTGATCCTAGGCCAAAATCTGTAACTTTTGATCACTAGTTTGGCATTTTTGCTAACAGCGAATTGATGACTACTGCAATCTGATCAAATTCTGCATTGTGGCTTCTCCTATGACAACCGTCAAATCAAGAACCATTAGGAAGACAGAAAATACACCACTTGCTCCACACACATCACCATCACCATCACCAAACATGTCATGGATTGATGATGTAAAACCTATGCCTATGCCCATTTTTAATGAGATTAAATGGCTTATACCTGGGATCGTGCTAATACAGTCTGACAAGCAACAATTGTAAAGGACTCGTATAGTGTGCACCCTGCTTAACACACATTTATACACAGGAGTGTTTCTAGCCTTCCATCAGTACTGGGGTACTGTTCAAATGAATTAAACTGAATCATGAACAATTTCAGACTATATTGTAAACCCATTTGACTGATTAGATCAATAATGATTAATTCACAAATGGCTAGTTCTGATTCTATACAACCGACAGAAAGGACACACGACATGATTGCTGAAATATTTTTAGGGAAAATGATTATCAGGTTGGTATAAGGTAATCTCCACCATCAGTAATATTTTACTCCGGCTCGTGCCCCAGTGAAAAGGGTCTAGCCACATACACTGTATGCACATACACAGACCAAATGATGCTCATACTAACATATATACACATTGTTTGATATATCTCAATATATCTTACACAGATTTTGTGATTAACTACATTTTATGTGAAATACTGCATTGCTAAGAATATTTGTTGCCATGGCAGCCATGCCTCCAGAGGAGACAGTAGAAAACATACTTAGAAGCAAAAAAATATTGCGCTCAACCTAGACTTCTCTCTTTCTGTCCCTCTCATCTTTCTTCTCTTTCACACAAACTTTTAGGAGGTTAGACTCTTCCATATACATTAGTCTGTCTTTATTAGTTATACTGTATTGTAATCTCTACATGAAAGAAACTTGAAAAAGAAATTAGATTTGACAAGTAGAAATTACTTTTAAAAAGTGATGGCTTTTAAACACAGCAGTTATTCTGCATTCTCAGATTTCACCTTTTTTGGTCTCTGAATTCTACTCTACGCAAAATATGATACAGTCTGTCAGTCTTGTCTTTCATGGGCTGTAAACAAATTCAATGTTGCTGCAATGTTGTAATGCAATATTAACCTGTAGGTTGCACTGTCATCAAACTGCTCTGGTACCCTCAGGGCATGGTCACATGACGCATGACATATGCCACATTTTGTTTCAATAGACCAAGATATAGCCTCTGGCGCAGCTTTGAAATGTGTCGAAATTCTATTCTTTTACTTGGTAGCATTTTGCCAAATTTAATACTAATAATTAAAAAATACAATAAATGCCATGATGCTTGGTAACCAATTAAATATATATTTAAAAAGTAACAAACTTTTTGGTAAAAATTTTACTGTTAAAATTAAATGAATTAATACATTAAGATTCCTTTAGTCATTAGTTTGCATATAAAACAGAAAAAAAGCAAATCAGTTATTTTTATTAAAACCTTTCAACATAATCATCCTAGACATAATCACATGATGCATCAAACTCAAACCTGTTCCTCACAGTAAAAACAGCTCTTCTCTATGTGTGAACACACACACTTTAACACAAAACAAACCTTCACAGTGAAAATCCTTAGACTGTAGTCATCTGCCTGGATGACCTGTTTGACAGTGATCTCGACACCTTCACAGATGACTCTGTCCTCTGGCCAGTATTCTGTGCATTTCTGTGGGACACACACACAAATATGTTTTTTTTCTCCTCGATTCATATGTTTTATTCAGTCCAGCAAAGTCCATTTTAAACCATTCAGACAAATTTGATTCACGATCCCTGATAACTCACTAGAATTCACCTAAATATTGCAAGGCATGTAAAGAGTCAAAATCACCTCAATCACATGTCTTTATTTAATTTTTGACTTCCGCAAAATACCTAAAGTTACAAATGAACATTTGGGAATATAATAAGTGATTTGATGTTCAGCCTGAGTTAGTGCTCAGTATCGAATAGTGACAGCACTAGGGGTTGGACAAGAACTATTTAGTGTTAATTCAAGTTTGCATAACCCTGATAATTAAAGAGAGAATACATCATAATAATTAAAACATCTCAAAGCTGTTTAATTGCTTAGCATAAAAGACTGATTCATCCCAATCATGTGATATGTGTGGATATAGCCAGACCTCGTTTTTTTCTTCAATGTTGGTGATCATGACAATAATGGGACAGCGCTCCTGCCAAACCATCTTCCAGAAATCCCCCACTGTGTTTACAGTTGGACCCTGTGTAGCGATGTATGCCCTTTCTTTCCTTCCATAGCCCTAAAGGAAAAAAGCCAATTTGAATGAAAGAAGAACCATATATGGCTGATTAGAGAGCCTTAACCTTTCAGCCTACTGCACTTCCATGTGATCAGAATAGTGCATTCACTTGCAAAATCACATAAAATGGTCTAGTCTCCCAAAACGAATAGTTTGTAAAAAGTTATGACATAAAAAAAGCTTTACTCAGCTAAAAATGTAAACAAAAAAAAGTTAGGGTTCATACATTTATTACCTTAAATTAAAGGACAAATGACAGAATGTTACAGAAATATTGCAAGAATGAAACAATATTTAGACAATGCTAAATGATTAACAACTAAAGATTTGGTTGTTTCATCACAAACTAATTTGTTCAGTTTATTAAAAATTCAGTTTATTAAAAACACATAACAGCTTAAATACTTTATCAACAAGCAAAATAAGATTATCATTTGATGCTAACACACACTCACCTTCAAATAATTAGCGTTGATGTAGGTGCTGAGAAAATCACCTTCCTCTTTTGCTTGTAAGCAAACTCTGCTGTGTGTGTCTGCAATTGAAAGGTTAGATCTTACAAACACAAAGATATGGCAGTATCATCAGTAACAAACTTCATTAGCCATTCCCACATTTTACTATATACAGAGTATTATACACACTTGGTAGTATGGTTTTGTAGCGATTCTTCCTCACCACGCCAGGAAAATTATATTCTTTTGGGTCCACGAAGTTCATGGGTGTTTCCTGTTTCCACCAGATGCACAAGATGAGAAGTGGCATCTTGTTACAATAATTGTTTTATAGTGTACATTGATGTTACTGTGAGTGGCACTCACATAGAACTCGGCCTGCAGTGCAGCGTCATCCAGTGCACGCTTGTGCAGCTGCTCGGGGGTGAGCAGGTTGGATGCGTTCTGCAGGTATTCCTGTGCGCTCTGCTCTCTAGGGGACAGCAGCGCTCCATAGGGCTCTGTAGTACCAGGGGTGCACATGTCCAACGTCAGCGACACGTTAGAACCTCTCCTGAAAATCACAGAGTTTGTGTGATGTCCCCAATGTAAAACTATGTGATTTCAGATGCATTTTTCAAGGGCTAAAGCCTTTTCAAGTTCTTTATTAAAACTTGTAAAATTAGTGAGAACAGGTCACATGTACTTTGACTACTTTTCTTTTTAATAGTAGTTTTGTCATGACAACTCTTGGAGGGATTGGCATGGTAATGTACATGACAATGTTAATGTATCTGGTCTTGGCGGAAAAGTACCGAGACTTTCTACTGCCAATACATCCACAACATGCTGCTGTGAGCATGTAAGAATATTGCTGCTGCAAATATAACATACATGAAATAACCTCAAATATAGCATACATGAATCACCTCGTAGCAGATCTATACAGGTGGAGCTGGGGAAGGTGGAGGGTTTCTGAAGCAAGCTGCAAATGCTACGGCAAGCACTAGTCATATATTTGAATGTTGAGCAGCGAACTCATTGGCTACCGATACAGGAGAGAACCAATCAGCTGTGCCATGTGATAATGATGTCATTAGGTCAGATTGAGTTAGACCTATCGGACTGCGCCATCTAGAGTTTCATGCCAGAACTCTGTATTTTTACGCACTTTAGAATATGACATTCTGAATAAATGAAAAGGCAATTCATCTGTAGTTAAAATATTTATTTAAAGTTGCTTTAAATTAAATATTTAACAATTGCTTTTTAATGTTTAATTATGACACAAGTGGTTAGCCTTTCCATCATCACCACTAGCTATATATGATTCTTTCCTCATTAAAATATTCAGCACACTGTTACATTAAACACTGAACTGAACTCTCAAAGCAATCATAGAATATTCTAAAAGCAAACAACAACAAATTATTTATAAGATGTAATACACATCAAATGCAAAGCATTTTCTTACCTTTCCTGCAAACCTACAGGTTTGACAGTGAGAGTGGCAGGGTCAGCTTCGGTCTTCATGTCCATAAAGCAGTCAAACACGGGTGTCTCCGGAACAGCATCCAGCTCGTAGAAATCCTCCTGTTTAGCATCTGTCCATTCTGAATATGTAAAAGAGGGCTGCCTGCTCATGGACTGACGACGGTCGTCAGGAAAGCAAGATGGGTTGCCAGGCACCAGGGTTTTAATGCAGAACATCGTCTGATGTGACAGCAAGTGGGGGGGGGAAGGAAAGTTCAAGCTTTACACAAAGGAATGAATGCATGCTCGTTTCAAATAAGCTGCGGCAACACTTTGTACTGAGCACATGCTGTCATGCAGTTTGACGGAAATCAAGTTATTGTATAAACAGGCTAAACTAAAGCTCTGAGTAACAAAAGGCGAACACATAAAAAAAACATACTCACTCCAGTACCAAGGATGACTACACCTAAGAAGAGTGTGGCTATGAGGGGCAACAAGCTTTCCACCCTCCATATCTCCATCTGCAGACGATCAACAACATATGATAGTGAATCCCTTAAATTCTCTTTCACATCAGTGTTTTTCATTCTGTTCTGACAGAGAAGATATTTCAGCTCTAGTGCCATCACCTGTTGATCATAGGCATCACTGGTGGAGAGAAGGTACTGAAGGAGATCCAAAACTTTATGTGCTGCTGGAAAAGCCCTGTATCCATTCAGCATGTAAAGGACCCACAAACCCTGAACACATCAACAATACACACTTACTATCACACACAAACCCTTCAAAAGACAACAGTGACTTACATATCAACAACTAGGAATGGCAAAGAAAGATATGAGACATTGGATATGAATCACTAAATGTGTTTTGGTATTTTGCCACAAGTTTAATTTCAAATTAATAAATGATTATTGTTTCGCAAATATACAACGTTCAAAAGTTTGGGATGGGCAAGATTTTTTTTTTATTATTGTTTTTGAGTTTTGTTAAGTGTCTTATGTTCAACAAGGTTGATTTTAAAATGTAATTGATTCAAATGATGGCGAAGATGAATTTTCAACAGCCATTACTCCAGTCTACAGTGTCACATGATCCTTCAGAAATCATTCCAATATGCAGATTTGCTGTTAAGAAACAAATATTTTTGTGGAAACCATGATACATTTTTTCAGGATTCTTTGATGATTAGCAAGTTCAAAAGAACAGCATTTATTTGAAATAGAAACCTTATGTCACATTAAATAACTTTATTGTCACTTGATCAAGTTTATGCATCCTTGCTGAATAAAAGTATTCATTTCTTTAAAAAAAGAAAAAGTACTGACCCCAAACTTTTGAATGGTAGTTTATGTGTATACATAAGTCTTGCACAGCTGTTTGCTGGTTTGTCAGACAGGAAGGCATGCGGTGCAGTTATTGACTATAGGGTCAATCACAGCAGACCCCGGAACAGCCTGTTTTTCTATACTTGTATGCACAAACACATTCAAACATAAAGACATATAAGCACACACCATAACAACTGTTTTATTGTCCATTTACATGACAAAAACCTTCATTATAAATTTAAAACATTCCTGGTTAAAAAAAAAAAAACTAAAATAATTTAGCTACACAACAAAATTATCAACTGCTTAATTTCAGCTAAAAGCCAAATTTGCCACTTTTAGACAAAACCAGAACATAGGCATAACTGAAACACTCTCACACATACAGCCATAAAAATCTGTAAATAGTTAATGGTGTGCACATCTGCATAAAGAGTGATATGTATGTGTTAAGGAGTTATTTGCTAACTATTTGAGAAATGTGCATAAACTCACTGTGAGTTGAGACAGTGTGTACAGCAGGAGGAAAGCACCAACTGTGACACTTGCTTTCAATATTCTTTCCCATAGAGCAATCCCAACCCCTGGCAGGGGGTCGTCGGTAAGTGGGGTGGCACCCTCCTGCTCTTTGGGAGCGTCCTCTCCAACAGGGGCTTCTGCCATACTGTCTTAAAACGTCCTGTCTTTAAACAGCTGAAACAGACACAGAGAAAACCATGTACCATCTACTAGAGGCAGAAGATAATAAAATGCGTGTAAAAATATACAGCAAAAACAAAATGAACAGCTAATTTAGAGCAAACAGCAGCAAGTAGCAATGGCAGCAATGCAGCTGAATGTAATCACAGAGTAGTACACTACAGCTTCTTCAGTACAGTCTCATAATTCATGGCATTGCTGTGGGAGGAATGACACATTTAGAGGTGGACTATGCAAATGAGACAGTGCTGCGGACATAACGCTAACACGGGGTGTTATGCCATATACAGTGTGAACTGTGCTGTAGCAGTCTTATCACAAGATCCATAATGGTTAGCATTAAGAAAAGATTTGAGGTTTGAGCAGCAGTGAGTAATGATGTTCTAATTGCATTACATTCACCATCTAGTTTTGCATGATTACTGTTAGTCTACTGTTTTATTTTTTATTCATTAAATGAGAACCATTGACCATATGGAATCATTTTCTTTTATCAGGTTTCAACGCATGTTAAGGCACGAGCTGAAGTCAGCTTTTTTTAAACCAAAATATTCCCACATCATTTGAGAGTTACTGATCAAATTTTTATCACATTCTTTCTTTTTTTTTCACAGCAGAAATACTTATGACACAATGTGTTTAATATTTAAACACTTCACTGTGCACTGACAGTGACTATCACTTTTCAAAAATTAGAGGTTTACAATATCACTGCTTTGTCAAAGTTAAAGCTGAATTTCAACATAATTTCAACTGTGATTCAACCATTAATAAACCAGTCAATATAATTTTGATAAATCCATGATTTATAAATCCATGCAACAATGAAAATGGAACCTAGTAATCAATTCATTCCAGTAGTCAACTGCTTTGCTGGAATATTGTATAGCTACTACATTAAATTAAAAAAGCACCTACAATGCTTTACTTTGATAAATAATATTTAAATACAAGTTAATTTAGGGAAATAAATAGATGATCACATTTTCAGTTTTGTCAAATGTTAAAGTTCTAGAGATAGCCATGTTCTGATTTTGATGTACGTAAATCTTTGTCCCAAAGTGACCATTTTAATTTAGAAAAGGGTTAAAGGGTACGTTTTAAATATACATTTTGAAATGTACTAATATCTTGATATAGGTACCATGGTAATAATTCATATATATATATATATATATATATAAGCAAAAAGTCAGACAGAGAAGGCTGTGTCACCTTTAGTGCAGAGTCAACATTCAGTGCTGGATTGGATCACTCTGATCAATACTCCAGCTCCACACACACACACACACACACACACACACACACTGAGGCTGCATTTACAAGAAAAACAGTCACTTCAGCAACAAACGCACCCATCCCCCTTTCTTTCACTCCTTTCTCTCTCTCTGACCCTCAACTCATCACTTCTCTTCTCTGCATTTCTCACTTCCTCTCTTCTTTTCCCTATTCCTTTCTGCTTTCATCTTTCTTTAATGTTTACCCCTCTCTCTTCATACCTCTGACCCTCATCTGCGAATGGTCTTCTTCCATCCATTTCACATTTATCCATCTTTACCTCCCGCTTCTTTTACTTTTCTTCTCTGATGAATATTATTAATTTATTTATTCCTGTACTCTATTAATGCTGCAGCTGGATGCTCTTGAATTGTCAGAATGAGCTATAAAGAGAAGAGATCGCTCTGTTGAAGGATACAAGCACACACACACACACACACACACACAGACACACACACACATACAAGTACACACCCTTCACAGATTGTCTTTCATCAAACCTAAGCATAATCATCTCATGCCACTTGCTCAATAAGCATTCAATCCCAGACACAAACTGTATAACAGGGAGAGATGAAGAAAGAACAGCCTTTGCAGGCAGGTATCTGAATGAAACCAAAAATGAAATAGGCCATAAACAAAATATTTAGGAAGGGAAACTATGTTTTTTGTTCTTAAATTATTTGACAACATTGGTGTCCTCTACTCTCCACAAAGAATTCAATAATATCTCAGTAAAAGTGTTTTTAATCGTGATGATACGCCTGACTGTTTTCATTTATCCTCACATTGGTGTCTTCATTTTTATAGACTAAAAACATCAGAATTTAAAATTACAACCTGTGTTCATTTGTCAATGATAACTACACTACCATTCACAGTTTGGGGTCCATAAGATTTACCTAAACTTTTGAATGACAGTGTATATATACAAATAATTTGAACTTTAGGTTACACTTTATTTTAAGGTGTACTTTTTACAGTGTAATTATACATTTAAGTACTAAGTATTAACTACATGTACTTACTATATGGTTAGGGTTTGGCTTAGGGTTACTTGCATGTAATTATGTATAATTAATTGTTATTATAAGTACATGTAACATGTGTAACAAGGACACCTTAAAATAAAGTGTTACTGAACTTTATTAATGAACTGAATTAAACTCTGCTTAAATTATGTTAAGACTAATAAAAAATGTGCTGGTCTTTTCATTTTCAAAAATGTAAAACATCAGATTTTAAAATTACAACCTCACTTCCTTTCTTACTGAACTACATTAACAATAATTAACTTATTACTGAAATGAATATATCTTTATTACTATTATTTATAGTTGATTTATTATATTTGAATTTATTATAAACTTATCTTAATTATTAAAACTTAATTTTTGCTAAGACAAACTAAAACACTTTTGTGCTAGTGTTGTGTGTATACAAAAAGACTCACAAATGCATGGATTTCATAAACCACACCACAATCCAAAGTATTCTCTTTGTGAGAAAGAAAGAGCAGACATACTTCATAAAGAAACAATAAAAGGACTTACTGTATAAAAAAGCAAAGTTAGGCTCACATGACAGTGACAAACGCCTCTCTCAGGACCTAAAACAAACTAGGAGTAGTGAGAAGAAAAATGAGGAAAACAGAAACTATTTGCATTGCATTAGAATGTCAATTTATAGACCAGTAGATGATCATTCTTACTCATGCAGCTCTGTACGGAGCGGTACAGATGGTGATACAAGCAGAGGACACTGCGTGCCAAGTCAACCAACAGGAGTCACTGAGCAGTATCGAATAAATAGCCCTCCATGTGTGTCTATCACAGAAAAATGACAGGTGGTCAAAATATAGCAGGAGATATGATGAATCCAAGCAAGACATCCAGGAATTAAATGCAGTATAAACAACAGGCTAGACAAAAGACCAAAAAACAAGGAAGAACTTAAGGTCTGTGGAGAACGTATCTAAAACGCGAACACACATTCAGTCCTCTCCTCTACGATCAGTAAACAATAGCTGCAGAGGTCTGGTCTGGTGATGACGTGATCTACATTGGCATGGGGGTAACCATGGAAACAAATACACTCAGCAGCAAACGGTTTATATGAACCACACTCAACACCCCCCTCCACACACACACACACACAGATATACACACTCTAACACCCACACACACACACACACAGACACGCAAAGGGATAATGCAGCAGACACAATCTATAGTGGAATAAAAAGGAGAAACACAGTTCCCATCTGGCTCCTGCAACATTTATAGGCATTTCCGGCCTTTTGTGTTTGAAACAAATATGAAATACATTTATTTTTTCACAGAGTTTCCACTGTGACGCAAATTCATTGTACTGAGCTCTTTTAATCTATAGCTAGCCAACCCAAAACTATACATACAAACACACATTAACAGCATAAACTAAATATTCCACGGCCTCCGCAGTGCAAAATGAGGCAGACTCTACGTCCTACACACTATACTGAACTATAGTCTGAGATTAAAACGAAGTTAATATGTCAGCAACGCTTTTAACAACAACAATGGATGGCAATAACAGTTGGCAGTTCAACATGGCCTTATTTTTATTTTGGACACATTAGAAGTCTGTATCAATAAAGGAAACATTTTTTTCCTCAGCAATGAATTAGCTAATGGAAATACCGATTTTTCTTTGTTAAGAGTTTTGATTAAAGAGAACAAGCATGAGAGAGTACAAGAGACAGAGATTGAGAGAGAGAGAGAGAGAGCGAGAGAGAGAGGTTGCCTGCTTAATAGCAACCCTACACTATAAGGCCAGTGTTTCATTGTGCTTGCTTGTATGAGAGGATTACGCTTTATGCTGGATGAGTTAAATCAGTGTGCTTTTATTCTGCAGACTGAGCCCAATATTCCGCTCCACCTTTGATTTCCATGAATGAGAGCATGGTTTCCAAAGAACCCACCTCTCCGTCTCGTTCTCCACCTCTGAAATGCATAGCTGATGTGATTATCTGGTTGTATACATTTCAGAAAAAGAAACGACAAACACAGGGCCACAGATGGGAGAGAAAGAACGAGAGAGAGAGAGAGAGCGAGAGAGACCGAAATCATGGCCAGAGGATTATTTGGACCAGTCTCCCTCCCCATGTAATATAGTCTCATTGGCTTAATACATTGACTAAAAGCAAACATCCCTTTCTAAAAATAATTCCTGCACTAACAGTCATTATATTGACCCAAAGTCTGAATTATTCAAACGAAAGCTCAAAAAAAAAAGAAGCTGAAAATATAATAGTCTGACTGCATAGAGCCCCCACACACATAGTCAAGCAAACAGTTAGACGAACACACACACACAGAATGGCAGCCTATCTGGAGAATATCAGGCACATAGCAGAATGAGATAGTCTACACTTGTTGAATGCCATTTAAGGATCACAAATACATCCCCTCTGTCTCCCAAAACCCCATCCAATGGGTTCTGTAAAATGATCCTCCTTAGCTATAAACATACTGAAAAAGTACATCTGTTTTTTTTTTGTCCCCATAAACATAAAGACCATTTATTTCGATGTACCACCAGTCATTGTGTTCACCAACCAAAGACCACCAAATGTTTACTTGTGATAGCTTGAATGACACATCCCAACGTTGAGGTAGTTTTAAAGAACGAAACAGCCAGTATAAATATGTGTACAGCAGGCACCATACTGAAAGACCTCGCATTGACTCGCTTCGCCTCTTCATTGAGAACAATACTTCAGCATCCCCAAAAAACATGACGCGCGCTTCCACAGCATCAAATGGACACTGAATAGTAATAAAACCGCACCGTATACGGCGAAATACGGATGCGCTCTTACCTCTCAGATGGGTGAAAGCGGTGGAAATGAGCGCGGAGATTCGCGCAGCATCATTAATATTCACATCACAGCGCTCTCGGAGACGCGCGCGGAGGAAGAGCAGGCAGCGGGAGACGCTGCAGTCGCTGCAGAGCCGAGCAGCGGCCCTCCATGAGAGCCCGCCTCTCTGTCCTGACAATGACAATGAGGAGGGTCTGAGTGCGTGCGTGAGCGTGCTCGTGTCTTAATATGCTCTGTCTCTCTCTTCCGAGTATATTTATGTTTCGTGAGATCCCTTTTGTGTGGTTTTCAATAGGTGTTGACGTGTGAGGTATTGTCTTTCGCGAGGCGGATGGTGCGATGCTTCGCTTCAGGTGGCAGCTAGAGGTGTAACCTAGGCAACGTATCTCAGGGTAGAATGGGGTGGAGGGATGCGCTTTAGTGCCCTCTTCTCTATCCAGTCCCCTCAGCACTCACAGCAACTGCGTCTTTTCCTAAAGCAAATGAAAGCGCATGAAAACGTACTGGATGTTTTGCACAAGAGGGCCTGTCACATTTTGTGAATCTGACGTCATGCGATGTTTTCATTCAGGTTCCAATTCTTTCTTTCTTTCAATTCCTTATTTCTTATGTTTCTCAATGTTTTAAAAACCCACAGACTATATATTCTACAAGTAACTGCTTCCATCTAGTGGTGCTTTACTATAGTCTGCATTGATGACCACGTCAGCAGCGCCACCCGTGGTTGTCATACGCAAACGCAGCATGAGTTTTAGAGGCCTTGAGTAACAATTTTAGAACCTCTTTGATTATGAGACTCTAAAGTCCTATTATTAGCATCTATATGAAGAGTTCAGATGCAAAAGCCTCTATGTGCCCTCTGAAATTTTCATCTAAAATGAGCATTTTTATCAAGCTCCTATATTTATGTTCAGTCATTTCACTTTAATGGCATAGAGACCTATACCGAAAGACCTATACATTGCCATTAAAGTAAAATGACTGAACCTAATCATTGGAGCTTGATAAAAATGCTAATTTTAGAGGCTTTTGCATCTGAACTCTTCATTTGTATTTATATCAATATGTGCATACTGTATATAGAAACAATTTCTGTTGCTTGGCTGTCGTTGTAGTGATGGAAGCTGTTATGGCTGCTGCTGTGAGAAAAAAGACAGATAGGCTGGTTGTGGCTGTATGGCTTCTGTTTCTGTGGGAGGGGTGGCATTGATACTGTCCTGACAGAACCTAACTTTAGGCCAACCTTAAATTTACACACATGCATCCTATGTTCAAGCTTAAGTTTGACTTCAAACACCTTAAGAAAGCAAGAATCCTCTGTTTCCAATAACTGGTTCACAGTTTCCCCTAAATGCATCTAAAAATTTCCCATATAATACCTAAATGTATCTCCAAACAAACACTGTTATGTATTTTTTGCTGATGCTTGAACATCCCTCCCTAACCTTGTCCCACACTATGAGTCCTCAAATTTTGCAGTGTGCTATTGCTTATATAGATTTATACCTGAAAACTTCATAGATGTACATTGAATTAATGAATATCATAACAGACTAGTTTCAGCACTACAGACTTCTTTTGGCACTACAAATTGTCACCCATATTTTGCAAAGGAAGTTAGAGTTTACAAAAGTGTTTAGTGCTGTGATCAGTGCGGTAAAAAAAAAAAAGCTTCTATTGTGAGCGGGGAGATAAGAGTTTCACTGTTTCATCCACCAGAGATCTGTATGTATGACCACTTCCTGTTTAGTCATTGCGTTTACCATACTCTTTCTTGCTTTCTGTTACCCAGGAGACTGCATAGTTCACTGAACAGGACTGAGACCCCCATAAAAAAAGAAAAACTGTTGCAACACAGAGAACAGTGAAACACAAAGCAGAGAAAAGTGCGCCCACAAGCATTTACAATGAAACACTGTTATGGAGCTGATGTAGCAAATCATCAAGATTGCTGCTGAACTGTTCAGCTGAAACAAAAAGAAACTTACAGTTGTGGAAAAAAAAGTTGAACTCTTGATTATCTGGATTTCTGCACAAATAGCTCCTAATGCGATCTGAAGCTTGGAAGGGTCTTTGGATTGATGTTACAAAGCTTTCTTTTTGAAATGCCTCAACAAATCATGGTTGATGACACTGCCACTAATAACCCTGCGTAGGCTATTCAAAGACCTAATGACTGTAAATACTACTATAGTATGTCCTTGAAATAGCTGTATTGTAAGACTGAATGACACCTCAAAATTACTGGAATTGTATGGAAATGTAATCTTTCAATCTAGTGCTTAGAAGCCGTAAATGCAACAGTCCTAATTGACAAACAGGAAGGCAGATCTGCTGGGCTAAGTATTATGATACTAGTTCAATGAACTCTGCACCAAAACTACTGTTAAAATTTACAACACTGCTAATCAGTAGACAATCCTTACAAACACATAATGAAGTAATGTGTTTTTTTTTTTGATAACGAATATTTAAAGAACTAGTTAATAGTGAGATGGTTTGCAAGATTTGAATTTTTTAGCAAGCCTTGAAATATGTGTTGTGTGACACACTGTGTAGGTGTAGCACTGTTGTGGGAGGGTGCTACTGCTGCTCCTCTTGATTTCTTCAACAGAGCAGTTGCTCACAAAATTGCCACTAACAAAAAAACAGTTAGTATTATGATATTGTAGGCCTAATGTTGTGGAATTGTGATTAGTATCTAGTGTCTGGCTTAGGCTTCACTATCACTTAAATATCACACAGTACACACAGGCCTACTTTTTGACCAATGATGTTGATTCTTTAAACCTACTGATTATTGTGATAGTATCACATTTCAAAAGACATCCATGCACAGTTGCGGTCCATGAAGGATTTTATTTTATTTATTTATTTATTTTTGAGGAAGTTAATATGTAATTTAATACTGATGGAAACAACAAAGGTTTTATTACTTGATAATAATTCTCAGCGACACATATAAATGCTCTCTGATATCTTAAAATATTTTTGATAATTAATGACCTGTTAACATTATAATCATTTATACATGAATAGGGAGCCACGTTCTACTTTCATAAGTATTTGCAGCTATTTCCACCCTATAAGCCTTCACTATGGCAACTTGTCATTCACTTGTTTTAAGATCATTGTGTGGCTACGATTTAAAATTTCTCTTGACCTGTTGTCTTAACCACAGTTTATATTGCGCTCTAACAGCTAGTATAACATTCGTATTTACATAATAACTGTAGCTCAAACAGTAATGTGGTGCTAGCAATTTTAAAGTCTTGGCTTCGGTTCTCAGGGCATGAACTGATGGTCGCCGTGATTTTGCCAAGTAAGACGTGTTCCTGGATCAACATCTTTTGTTGATCCTGGATCAACATAACTGTCCAAAAATATAGACTAAACCCAATCTCTACCCCTTAACCTAACCCTACCCATAATTTATTCCTAAAATCAGTGTGAAATGATAGCTGATTAACAAGGGTGTAGAAGCACCTAACCCTGATCATAAGCCTAAAACAGATGCAATTTCCTAAAAGTTATCTCTCAATTCTGATTGGTTAATTGGAATGTTGTTCCAGGATCAACAAGGATGTTGATCCAGGAACATGTTGTACTTGGTGAAATCACGGTCACCATGAACTGATATACCTGCAATTGCTTTGGATAAAAGCATCTTCCAAATGCATGAATGTAAATTAAAACTTGACTGGGCTAAAGGGTTATGAAAAGGTTTAAATTAATTTGAATTCTGCACATCCGTAGTGAATTGATTAAAGCAAAAGTTAACTACTCCATCTTCGTTGTTACGTCCCATTTGTATGCATTTTTGAGAAGGTTTAACCTCCCTTGCCTGCTCTGACGCCTGCAACAGGATTTTATAAAGGGTGAACGTCCGCTGGTGCTGTTTGAAAAGTTGATGTCTGGGGGCGGGGCTATTCGTTTCGTCCTGCTCACGTCACTCAGTGAAGAGAAAGAGTCGAGAGGAGAAAAGTTCAGGAGCACCTGAAGCAGGAATGAGCAGCATCGTACCTCAGCGGCGTTTTGATCTTGCACGATAGAAACAGCTTTTCTAGAGAACAAAGACATTGAGAAATTAACCAAATTATGAAATGACATAAACCTTTTGGTTTGTTATTTTTGCCACTATGGGTCAACATTATTTACTTCAGGCCAGTGTCTTCCGTGCGACTGTATTGTTTGCTGTGCTCGTCTCGGTAAGTTTTTCTTATTTATTTATTTGTGTGTGTGTGTGTGTGTGTGTGTGTTTTCTCGTCTTGTTAAGCGTTGAGTGTTGATGTTTAGATCCGCGTTCGTCTCGTCTCCTTTTTTAAAACTGCTACTTTAAAGTAGCTACTAGTTTCGTGTCTCTGTTATAATTAACAATGCTTGCCTAAATGGCATCCTGTGTGACTGAACCTCATCAGTTTCTGAAGTTCTCCTAAAAGTTTGAACTAATGTTTAAAGTTGTTTTGGAACTTCGATATACGTTTTGTTCTACTTTGAAATATAATGAAACGACCTGACGTATGTGCGTTTTTTGTGGGATAACAACAACAACAACAAACAAAACTATTATCTTCAGTTTATTTGAGGGAAGTGTAATTCATAGAAAGTTGTCAATAACTTCTATTCCTACTTACAAACTCTTCCCCAAAACTCTTGACCGCAGGCACAGCTGCACACTGGTGCACAATAGTTAGTAAGCTGATATTTCCATATAGCTATCGGTTTAATGAATATGACTGTAAATATGACTAAGATGTCTGGCATCAGCGGTTTTAAATGATTAATGGTGAATTTAAGTATGTGCGAAGATTTTCCATTGTGTTCTGTTAAACCAGAAGTGCAACCGTTATCTATGCAAATTTCGTAGGTTCATCTCATCTCAGTCAGTTTGCGTTGGTGTGACAGACTGGCAAGCTGACAGCAGGACTTTTTGGGATAGGTTTTGTCCTGACCATGCTTTATTGATTAAAAATGTTCTCTTATGTTCAATAACCTCACCCAGATACAGGATTCTGACCCCATTTCTCCTTGTGTAGATGTGCCTTTTACAAATGGAGTTCACTTCTGTTGTTGCAAAATAATTTTGTTTGCCTGCTGCCTTTGTTTAAGTTATACCAATAACCTTATTAG